CTACTCCTCTCAGTGGCAGACAGCCATGGACACAGAGATGGCTTCCTGGAAGTCCACACGCACCTACGTCGACGAGGTTCCCCCACCTGGGGCGAACATCGTCAGTGGCATGTGGATTTTCAGGGTGAAGCGGCCACCGGGTTCTCCTCCTGTCTTCAAGGCGCGCTACGTTGCTCGAGGCTTCAGTCAGCGAGAGGGAGTAGACTTCTTTCAGACCTTCTCCCCCACCCCGAAGATGACGACTCTTCGGGTGCTGCTGCACATAGCCGCTCAGCGCGACTACGAGCTTCACTCACTTGACTTCAGCACTGCTTTCTTGCAGGGCAGCCTACACGAGGAGATCTGGCTGCGTCGCCCTCCTGGCTTCACTGGGTCGTTTCCTCCTGGTACCCAGTGGAGGCTTCAGCGGCCAGTCTACGGTCTCCGGCAGGCTCCACGTGAGTGGCACGACACACTGAGGACTACACTTGCGGCTCTTGGGTTCGCGCCTTCTACTGCTGACCCGTCGCTGTTTCTGCGCACCGACACTTCCCTGCCGCCGTTCTACATCCTAGTGTACGTCGACGACCTGGTCTTTGCCACTGCTGACACTGCGGGACTCGCCTACGTGAAGTCGGAGCTGCAGAGGAGACACACGTGCACAGACCTGGGTGAGCTGACAAGCTATCTTGGCTTGCGGATCACCCGGGACAGAGCACGGCGCACCATCACCCTGACTCAGTCACACATGGTGCAGCAGGTTCTCCAGCGCTTCCGCTTCACGTACTCCTCGCCTCAGTCCACTCCTCTGCCTACCGGTCACTCGCTCTCAGCTCTGCCTTCGGATGAGTCCGTAGAGCCGAGTGGCCCGTATCCAGAGCTTGTGGGCTGCCTCATGTACCTGATGACCTGCACTCGACCTGACCTTGCATACCCTCTTAGCATCCTTGCACGCTATGTCGCTCCTGGCCGTCACAGGAAGGAGCACATGGATGCTGCTAAGAGGGTGTTGCGCTATTTGTGCAGTACGTCGGGCATGGGGCTAGTGCTTGGAGGGCGAGACCGAGTTGTGCTCACTGGACACTCAGACGCTTCTTGGGCGGACGACCAGGCTACTCAGCGGTCGTCTCAGGGTTACACTTTCAGCCTTGGCTCTGGCTCTGTCTCGTGGCGTTCTACGCGTTCTTCTTCTGTTCTCAGCTCCAGTTGTGAGGCTGAGATCTACGCCACAGCCATGGCGGCCCAGGAGCTGCGCTGGCTGACCTACCTGCTGACCGACCTGGGAGAGCGACCTCGTTCTCCTCCAGTGCTGTACGTCGACAACAAGGCTGCCATTGCCTTGTGTGAGGAGCACAGACTAGAGCACAGAACGAAGCACATCGCCCTGCGGTACTTCCTTGCTCGAGAGCTGCAGCAGCGCGGTCAGCTTCGTCTTCGTTACGTGGCCACTGAGGCCAACACTGCTGATGTGTTCACCAAGGCGCTTCAGCCTTGTGACCATCAGCGTTTTTGCACTCTTCTAGGCCTTGTGCCTACTGGACCTCACTTACTTACTTCTTGACTCTGTGTGTACTGTGATCTCTATATATATACCTGCATGTTTACTCTTGCTAGGTTGTGATCATTGTACCTCTTGCTCTATTATAAACCTGTATGTGAACTGGTCTTGTGACCACTTGCTTGTGCTCGGAATTTGTGTGGAATCCTCGAGATCCACCCTGAGCTTGTTTTGCCTTGCTTTGCCCTGACTGGTCTTGTGACCCCTAGTTCTCCCCCACTTTGCCTATGGGGGTGTGTCGAACATTGTATATGTTGTGTTTGGTTAGGCTACAGTGGGTTAGCCTGTATGGGGTACACAATTCTAGGGTTTGCTATTTGTACTGATTTCTCTGTTAGTTCAATCATTCCTTTGTTCATTTCTTGCTTGCCTAGCTAGGTCAACCCTAGCTGTGGCTTCTCACTGTCCTTACTATCTTGACAGGGTGCTGTGTTTTGGAAGGGCCCTGCCATCTGAGCTCGTGTCTCGGCCAGGGCTCCAACTGATGCCTCGTCGAGGGAGGTGAGTAGGTGGCTGGCCTGCGTGTAACTTGCGAGGAAGCCGACACGCCCCTCCACCGATGGGTCCGCCAGGCCAAGGCCTCCAAGGGAGACCGGGAGTGATGCTTGTGCCCAGGTGCGTGCAATCTCTGCTTCACCCCTCGGCTGTCGTATCCCACAGGCCGCTAGCAAGGTGTCAAACAACCGTTTTCCCCAATCCGACCACTCCTCTATTGGCAGGGCTGATAGTGGAGTTGTGCGGGCCACGTAGCAGATGCGGCGCGAAATGCAGCGGGTAAGCAAGAGGGAAGCTATCTGCGGGTCCATTTGAGCCATCAGTCGGAGCGGGCTGCTCATTGCGTCAAGGCTGTTGCGAAGGAAGGAGGCCGTGGCGTCAGTACCGCCAATGAAGCTGCCCAGCACCTTCACACCACCGTCGGTGAAGGGCATGCCGCGGGGTAATGACGCCGGCTGCTGCCCCGAGGAAGACCACGCCGCGCATTTGGAGGGATTGTGGCGCAGCCCGATCCCGATGAGGTTGGTGGTGAAGTCATTGAAAGCGGCCGTACATTCCGCCGCTTCCCCCAGGAAGGTCACATCGTCCGCGAAAGCAAGGCATACTACGGACGGGTACGCCAGGGCTGTTTGTTTGAGCGCTGGATGCATGGCTGCAGCAAAAAGGAGTGGCCCGAGGGGGTCCCCCTGGCTCGAGAGAGGTGCATGTGAGAAGCCGGCGTCAAGGCGCACCGCAGAGGGATGGCCGTATGTAAACTGTACCAGGGGCAGAAGGGGGGCCAGCGGGGAACCAGTGAGGGATCCTACGATCGCCGTACGGTCAACGCTATTGAAGGCGTTCGCTATGTCTGCTTGCAGGACCAAAGCACCCGGATTCACGCTGAGATAGGTGCGGGAGATGTGTATGATTGCCTCCGCTCCACCCGGGACTGCCACTCCAAACTGGTGGGGAAGGAAGAAATTCCGTGCGTCATTGGCTGTCAGGGCAAGGGCTGTTTTAGCGGCGAGGCGCAAGAGGCACTCGCCAACAGCGATTGGCCGCGTCCCACCGTCTGGTTTGGTAAGTGCCAGTAAGCAGGAAGCAGTGAGGAGTTCTCCTACGGCAGGCGGTAATTTCCCCGTTAGGATGGTGTTCACTAGTGCGTGCAGATGCTTTCCCACCGAGGCGTTGATAAGCACTGAGTCTTGTAAGTGTTCGAATGTTGTCCCAGAGGGGCCTGCCCCAACAGCCATCTCACAGCGACCCAACACCTTGGAGAAGGTTTCGAAGGGTGCGGAAAGTGGTGGGTCTGGTGCTGGGTAAGTCCAGTTCGGTTGAGAGGAGGGAGCTCGCGGGTGCTTGGCGCGCAATGCCTCCAGTACGGTTGGGGACGGTGTGCAGACCGGAGTAGCTTCGAGAGCCAGTACCGCACGCCGCAGGCTGCCACGCCTCGCGAGCCCCTTAGCTCGAGCGATGACGCCGACGTCATCAGGCTGGTGTCTGGGTGGCTGTGGCCACAACAGGGAGGCCACTGTGTCCTAGTACAGCCTGTCCCATTCGCCAGACAGGAATTGGGTAAGGCGAGCCGTGACGGTGGGCCAATCGGGTTTTCGCGGCGACGGTTGGCGAAGGGTAAGGCGCGGGAGGAAGAGGAGCAGCACCCAGGCTGGGTAGGAGTCAGGATCCTTCGCCAGGCGCAACAGTGGCACTAACATGGCAGTGGCGAGGAGCTTTCGTTGGTCGCGAGGGAGGTGGCGAGAGAGGGAGGCGTGGCGACTGTCGCGAAGTGTCGCTAAGTCCCACGCTTCCACTGCTGCAAATAGGGTGTCGTCCAATGCTAGGGTTTCAGGTGATTTCTCCTCGTGGGGTTGGGTTGGAGTGGGGTTACCGCCAGGTGCTGGTGCAGGTGGATGGGCGGTTTGCGCGTGGGTCTGATTGTGGGAGATTGTGGTTGGGTGTGGTGGTGGTGTGGCTGGAATTTCCGATGCTGCGCGAGTTGGTGTTGGTGGACCCCTCCTCACGGATCTCCCAGCGGCAGTCGAAGTCGATGCCCTGCCTGCTCGAGCAGGAGCCCGTAGCTGCGTTTCTTCCACGGACTCCGAGCTCGAGGTAGAGTCCGTGGATTCAGCAGGTACATAGCTGCCATCTGAGGTACTGCTATCAGTATCCTCATCGATATTCATTAAAGCCCGTCTGCCCGCCTGCTGGTAGACGTTTTCGGGTCCACCTCCGCGAGCTCTCCCTCCGCCCACGGCCGCGCTCCCCCCTCGTCCAGCAGGTATAACCGCGGGAAGTCGTCCGTCCGCGCCTCGTGCGGCATCCCCCTGTCGGCCTGATGGATCTGCCCGCCGCTCCGGCACACAAGCGTACCGCGGAGAGCGATCCTGCTCCACGTGTGCTTCCTCCCTCGCGACCTGCTGCGAGTGTCCATGTGGCCCCATTGATGGCGGCAGAACAGGTCCGCCGCCGCTTTGAGGAGCATCGGCGCAAGACGGCGCGCGAGGGGCCCGGCGTGCGCTCCGACGTAGAGGCTGCGGCGCACCGGGGGCGATCGCCTCGGCGCCGCTCGTCAGTAACGCGCGATTATGGGCGGGTGAGCCGCCGTGATGAATGTCGGGGTAAGTCCCGCACGCCTCCTCCGTCGCTGTCGCCCCGCCCGCCACGATCTCCTCGTCGTGAGGCGTCACGAAGCTCGTCCCAAGATCGCCGGAGGCGTCGTCGCCGGTCCCCTGCTCGCCAGTCGTCACGCCAGCATTCTCCTGATCGTCGTGCCTCGCACCGTCGGTCCCTCTCCCCGCGTTCGCCACTGCAGACGAAGCGGCGGCGACTTTACTCCCCTCGTCGTGGGGGACGATCTCCTGAACACCCGCACCAGCGCATCTCGTCTCGCCGTCCCTCGCCTGTGCGCTCAAATGTGAGCGGTCGTGCTCAACGTGGGCGGCAGAGCGGCTATGGCCGCGGCGGAGCGGCTCGTCAGGCGCCGTCCGCGATGGACCGTGTGGACGGGGTGGAGAAGGCTCTCCACCGGTCGAAGGCGGAGTCGTCATCGCAGGCCGCGCGTCCAGCAGCTCCAGTCGCTCCCCTCGCTGCGCTCCTGCCGCACAACCCCGTGGGGTCTCTTGTGCATCCCGGTAGTCCGCTGCCTGCGGGGACTGGTTTCGTGGGAGCGGGTGGCGGGGATCCGTGGGCCCCGTACGTTCCTCCCCGTCTTGTTCCTCCTCCACGCGATTTTGCGGTGTCGGCGCGTCGGGCTCGCCGGTATGCAGTGCCGCCGGCGAAGAAAGAAGTGTCCACGGCGACCCTGGCGCACTTGTGGGCGATCGCGGAGTGCCTGCAGAGTCTTGAGGTGGTACTTGTGGAGTCTCACGGCTCCATGTCGTTGACCCCACCGAGCATGTTCTCTCAGATGCCGCGAGCAAGGTGTCACGCGGCAGCGTCAACGCTATTCGCGTATGTGTCGCCACTGCAGGTTGCGCCCTCGCCGGGAGTAGTCTCGGCCACCCTGCTGGCTGAGAGGGCCCTGGATCTGAAGACGCTTGTAGGAGATCGCGGAACTCCTGTTGACGTTGTCGGCGCCACCGCGTCAGTGGTCCGCTTGTTGTGGATGACCACCCGCGAAATGCTAGGTGAGCTTGAGGCGGACCGCATGTAGGCGCGGCCCTCGTCCGCGTGTAGACCTGTTCCATGTGATTGCGCCTAGATGTACATGCTTGCCATTGTTGTCGCCGATGTCTTGCTAGTTGACCACAGTTGTGATGGTCTTGTCACCTCTCACGCGCGGCCGGAAGAGTGCTGTGAAGAACCAAGCAAATAATGAGTTAGAACAGAGGCCGAGAGGCCGTTATATAGGGGTGAGATGGAGGAAGAGGCCAGGTGCAAGAGGCTTAGGTAAGACGCTCTCTCTCTCTCTTGCGAGCGCCGGAAGAGTGCTGTGAAGAACCAAGCAAATAATGAGTTAGAACAGAGGCCGAGAGGCCGTTATATAGGGGTGAGATGGAGGAAGAGGCTAGGTGCAAGAGGCTTAGGTAAGACTCTCTCTCTCTCTCTCTCTCTCTCTCTCTCTCTCTCTCTCTCTCTCTCTCTCTCTCTCTCTCTCTCTCTCTCTCTCTCTCTCTCTCTCTTCTCTCTCTCTTCTCTCTCTCTCTCTCTCTCTCTCTCTCTCTCTCTCTCTCTCTCTCTCTCTCTCTCTCTCTCTCTCCTTCTCTCTCTCTCTCTCTCTCTCTCTCTCTCTCTCTCTCTCTCTCTCTCTCTCTCTCTCTCTCTCTCTCTCTCTCTCTCTCTCTCTCTCTCTCTCTCTCTCGTTCTCTCTCTCGTTCTCTCCCTATCTCGTTCTCTCTCTCTCTCTCGTTCTCTCTCTCTTGTTCTCTCTCTCTCGTTCCGTCTCTCTCGTTCTCTCTCTCTCTCGTTCTCGTTCCATCTCTCTCGTTATCTCGTTCGTGCTTCGTTCTCCTTTGTTCTTCACTTCAAATAACGACTGGACTTAATTGCCAATACCGTTTTCTTTGCTCGCCGTTTGAAGTACCTATTGTAAAATCTGAAATAACTAGAATTATTTTCTGTATTTTTTTTTTGGATCGCAGGAGCATCATCGGCGCCAGTGTAATGTGTTTGTGTCTTGTGGAACGATCAGACACGCGGACTCGCTCCTGGTGAGTCCTTCGTCGACCCCGTGCCTACCTTCTTATTTCCTTCTTGCATTGTTTTGTTTCATCTTTACTTCCTCCTTCCATTCTGTATTTGCTTATTCGTTTTACCCTCGTGAACAACGTTATTGGTTTCTGTTTTAGATACTTCAATTGATGAATATTTCAAGGAATTCTGAGATGTTATAAACCACGCGATCAACTACCATTAGGGTACAATATGTTTGCGACGAAACTGAAAGTACTTAAGGGTTTGTTTTCTCTCTCTCGTTTTCTCTCTCTCGTTCTCTTTCTCTCGTTCGTTCTCTCTCTCTCTCTCGTTCTCTCTCTCTCTCTCTCTCTCTCTCTCTCTCTCTCTCTCTCTCTCTCTCTCTCTCTCTCTCTCTCTCTCTCTCGTTCTCTCTTTATCGTTCTCTCTCTTTCTCGTTCTCTCTCTCTCGTTAGTTCTCGCGTTCTCACGTTCTCTCTCTCTCGTTCGTACTCTCTCGTTCGTCCCCTCTCTCTCTCTCTCTCTCTCTCTCTCTCTCTCTCTCTCTCTCTCTCTCTCTCTCTCTCTCTCTCTCTCTCTGTGCTCTCTCTCTCGTACTCTGTCGCTCTCGCTCTCCGTTGTTCTCGCTCTCCATATTCCTTAAATTCTCTCTCTCTCTCTTGTTCTCTCTCTCTCTCGTTCTCTCTCTCTCGTTCTCTCGTTCTCGTTCGTTCTCTCTCTCTCTCTCGTTCGTTGTCTCTCGTTCGTCCTCTCTCTCTCGTCCTCTCTCTCTCGACCTCTCTCTCTCGTCCTCTCTCTTTCGTCCTCTCTTTCGCTCTCGCTCTCGCTCTCCGTTGCATATCATTGTTTCCTGTTTTGTTGGGTTCAGTTTTTTAATGTATGTTGTTCTTCATCATTTTTTACCTTACCACCATTAGCTTGCATTTTGTTTGGTTATTATGATTTTTTCCTCATCTGCCTTGCTTTCTTTTCTACTATTCTCTCCACTCTTTGATAATTCTTTTTTTTTCTCCCTCTTCCTTTCTTTCCTTCTGCCTTTCGTTCTATCTAGCCTTTGCTTTCTCTTTTTTATCACCGCTATTCTGATTCTCAGTTTCCTACCTACTTGTTTTTGCTGTACTTCTCTCCATATTTTCTTTCCTTCCGCTGCTTCTGTTTCCTGCTTTTGTTTTCTTATTCTGCTTGTTGCTTCGATTCTTAGTTTATTTTAATAAAGATGATTTTTTCTTCTTGTTGACGTCTACCTTGTCATACCCTTGTTTCGCTTCCACTCTTGTTTTCTCTACTTCTTCCTTTCGGTTTAGTTTCCTTCACTTTATTCGCTCTTCACTTCTACTCGTTCCTTTCTTCGTTTTGTGATGCCTGTTTTCTTTCTTCACTAGGTTGCGCGTACGTCAGACATCCTTTATTTCATAATATCAATCTGCAAGAATACTATGTTCCCTTTCCCCCCTCTGTTTTTCCCTATTTTGTGCTTTTCAGGTTATTGCTGTTTCATTCAAGTATATGTTGGAACTGAAAAGTTACTAGTGGTGACTTGTAGGGGCTTTTTTCTATTAGATATTTTCGTTTGTATATGCTTTTGTTTTTACTGTTTGTGCACTGAGCTTTTTTGTTTATGTTAGTGTGTTTGATACTGTGCGTATGTGTTTGTATTTGTGTGTACGTGTGTGCGCGTTGTGTCTGAGTGTATGTGCATGCATATACATTGCAATAACAATGCATGTCTGTGTGTTTTAAAAAGATGAATCGGGTCTATCATTTCATCAGAAGGTTCATTGGCGCGCCTGTCGGGAGCCCACTTGAACTGGAGATGATAGAGTTGACCATCTTTTTAGAGTTCACAGATTGTGTTGTTTCATGTGGTAGGATGCTGATTGTTCAAAGACTATGCTATTAGCTCCCCCCCATGCTAGGCAGGGGATGCGGTAGTAGTATAGTTTTTGGGCCGTTAGCTTTCACGCATTTACATCATCGTACAAATGTATCACTGATTGTGCGTAATAATCATTATTTATATTTAACGTAAGGCATATATTTATCATGTCATATCTTTGTCAAACATTGTATGTTTATATTGTGTAGGCTATAGTGGGTTTAGCCTTAGAGGGTACACAAACTTAGGGTTTCCTACTTGTACCCAACTTCCTGCTAGTTCATTCATTCTCGTTCTATTCTAAGATTCTAACATGGTATCAGAAGCCTAGGTTGCTACCTAGGACCGCTTTCTCCAATGGGCCCACTATTCCGCTAGAAGCGCCCTCGTGCGCCCTACCCTACGTGCGCCCTCGTGCGCCTTTCTCTGCTAGTGCGCCTTCGTGCGCCCTCGTGCGCCCTCGTGCGCCCTCGTGCGCCTTCGTGCGCCCTCGTGCGCCCTCGTGCGCCCTCGTACGCCCTCGTACGCCCATGTGCGCCCTCGTGCGCCCTCGAGCCGCCCCTGCAGGTCCGTCAGGCCCCCGAGCCGCCGCTGCAGACCCGTCAGGCCCCCCCCGAGCCGCCTCTGCAGGCCCGTCACGCCCGAGAGCCGCCCCTGCAGACTCGTCAGGCCCGCGCGCAGCCTCTGCCCGACCGCGCGCCGCCTCTGCAGGCTCTCGCCGCCCACCGCGTCGCCCTGTCCGCGGCGTCGTCGTCGCCTGCCCGCGGCGTCGTCGCCTGCCCGCGACGCAGCCCCTGCCCGCGGCGTCGTCGCCTGCCCGCGGCGTCGTCGCCTGCCCGCGGCGTCGTCGCCTGCCCGCGGCGTCGTCGCCTGCCCGCGGCGTCGTCGCCTGCCCGCGGCGTCGTCGCCTGCCCGCGGCGTCGTCGCCTGCCCGCGGCGTCGCCGCCTGCCCGCTGCGTCGCCACCTGCTCGCTGCGTTGTCCTGCCCGCGGCATCGCCACCTGCCCGTGGAGCCGCCCCTGGAGCCGCCCGCCACTGCAGTAGCAGCCCCTGGAGCCGCCCGCCACTACAGCAGCCGCCCCTGGAGCCGCCCGCCACTGCAGCAGCCGCCCCTGGAGCCGCTCGCCACTGCAGCAGCAGCCCCTGGAGCCGCCCGCCACTGCAGCAGCAGCCCCTGGAGCCGCCCGCCACTGCAGCAGCCGCCCCTGGAGCCGCCCGCCACTGTAGCAGCCGCCCCTGGAGCCGCCCGCCACTGCAGCAGCAGCCCCTGGAGCCGCCCGCCACTGCAGCAGCAGCCCCTGGAGCCGCCCGCCACTGCAGCGGCAGCCCCTAGAGCCGCCCGCCACTGCAGCAGCCGCCCCTGGAGCCGCCCGCCACTGCAGCAGCCGCCCCTGGCACCTGGAACAACTGCCGTCACGGCCCGGCCTCGCCCTGCAGCAGCTGCCGCGGAGCTCCCTGCTGCGGCCTGGCCCCGCCCTGCAGTTGTAGCGGCCCCGCGGTCGCCACCGTCTTGCGCCTGCCACGCCGACCACTGGTGAGCATTGCCCTGCCCGCACTGCTACTGCTGCTACTGCCTTTTCTACTCCCACTGCTACTGCTCCTGCTGTTACTGCTGTTACTGCCGCTACTGCTGCTACTGCTGCTCCTGGCGAGGCCAGATGCAGCTCCAGGGCCGTGCGCGTGAGTCCCTCACGCCCCAGCAGCTTCGTGAGTGGTACGCTAGTTGGGGCTGTCGGGGTGGCCGTAGTGGTAGTCGCTCTGGAGTGGGTCGGTCGGGAGCTTCTGGTAGTGGACAGGTGCAGCTGCAGTGTCCTCTTTCACCCCAGCAGCTTCGTGAGTGGTACGCTAGTCGGGGCTGTCGGGGTGGCCGTAGTGGTAGTCGCTCTGGAGTGGGTCGGTCGGGAGCTTCTGGTGCTTCTCGCTGTTTCTTTCGTGACCGCACTGCCCTTGAGCCGCTTGCTCGGCCAGTTGCTGTCTCCCTCGCTGACCCCTCTGGGGGTCCGGTCATTGCGACCTCCTCCACTTTCCTTCCCTGTCCTGCGGTCCCGTCGGGCACACTGTCCGGTCTCCACCTCCCCTCGTTCTCTACGAACTTGGTGGCTGGGTGTGCGCTCCAGGACGCGGGTGTTCACCAGTTCACCCCT